ATTGCTGGAACTACAAACTGAGAGCATACAAGAGAGTGCAAACAACATTTCGTCAAACATGACAAGGTTACTGGAATCATACCTAACTGTGGAAATTGTGTGAAACCTGTCATCGAACACCTTGGTTTCAGGTTTTACGACATCGTTCTTCACTGAATTGGCAACTTTCATGTCAACATCCCTAAAAGGTATTTCAGCGAACACCTTGTAGGCGGATATTCCTGAGATCTCCTCTAATTTTCCACCACTCAGCCAGAGTATTCCACCGTTCAAACCAAATGGGAAGTCGTGGACAACACATTCCTGAAGCGAGGTTTGAATGCAATCATCAACAGTCTCTGAATCAGAGGCCACTTAATCATCGAAGACAAGGGTGGATTCGTCAAAAGACAAGGCAGGATCCCCCTTATCGTCGGCAGATGAGTCCACATCTACAGGCACTGGATCCGCAACGACTGACTGGGAGTAAGAAGACAGTGTGCGTTGGACATTGTCGAGTTTGCAGAGTCTATAAGAGAAGTTCTCGTCCAACTTCTGCATCATATCAAGGACGTTGACATTGTCACTGATCATGTTGGAGTCATTACAGAAATGCAATGCCAATTTCTCGGTGAAGTGTTTCCAGTCAAAAAATTATTTGTTGCGATACAACCATTGGAACCAATCATAAGCAGCACCATCGAGATAAAAAGGGGCAAGAGGTAGCCATTCCTTTTCCGAGAAACCAAGATATGTGAAATATTGCTCCGTCCTAAAAATCCACCCAGTTGGATTGCCGCCGCTAAATCTATTGAGTACCATCAATGCCATTGGAGTACTCTCAATGAAAGCACCAATGTAACAACTCCAATTTCACAATAGAACATTCAAATATTAGAATCGCTAAGCTCAAAGTTACAGTGGAAAATGGAACTAACAAGGAATCGCAAAACAATAATGAAGTAGTAAAACAAAGAAACTATTGAAGAAGATAACTAGAAGGAAGATTAGAAGCTTAGACTCAAAGAAAGGGAATGAGGACTAGACATTTTTCTCAACAATTTGCATAAACCGTTCTTTCTCATGTCGCCCTTTTTACCTAGTTGTTAATTGGGCCTGGGTCCCAAATCAACCTTGGTGAAGGCCTTCCAATTTTGTTGCTTCTTTTCAGCCCAATAACTAGTTGTGTGGCATCTGTGTAGTTATTGACCTTGGGCCGAGGCTGGTTCATAACAATGGCATTCTCTATATATGAATGAATGAAAGGGTAAAGTACATTAAAGAGATCCATCTAGATTGAACACTCACAATTATGGGTGCTAGAGTTCATAACAAATCTGAGCTATGCATCTATAAGTAAAATCAAGCCTTCAAAGAAAGAGATTGAAATTTCTCAATTTGAGAGGATAGCATTCGAGAGAGTAACATTGATGTGCACTGTTACAATAAAGACAAATCACTTGCTATTTCAAATTGTCATCGATCAATTAGCTATCTTCACAATAAAAAGAACAATTACTCTGCTAACGGACTCCATGACAATGGATTGATGCACTTCCGCAAGAAATTAAGAGAAAGAAGTTAAACTTGGCAGTTTAATTTAGGTAATATATCATCAATTAGCCATCTTGCTATCCAACGGTATGCATTTTGTGTCAAATGAACTCCATCCCAACTGATGTGAGTACTCGGATCAACACACACAGGAACTCTTGGAGCACCACATCTTCTATGTACATCATAATTATATTCTCCTCCTATTCCACAACATGCTTTTTGCAAGGAGTTGTTGTCGAATCCTGAAAATGTAGTACAAGAAAGTTGGTAAATGCATATGGTTTTCTTCCCCTTTTCACTTATGTATGTAGTAATTCAACCTTATAATTAGGAAAAGGAAATGATATACTATCTTTTAAGCACTTACCAAGACTGCCGGCATTTTGTAGAAGCCACAGAAAGGCGTTGTAGTAGTCACCATAAATCAGTGTAATGTTTGGGTAATCTTTCTTCAACTCATCAATGGCTTGTTGCAAATTACGATTGAAGAATATTGCAAAGTTATTTAAGTCTTTCAAGCAATGGTACTCATCATAGGCAGTTGAGATGTTGGTCATGAATTTTGTTAGGAAAATTGGGTGACAACCTATTGGGAAGTTGCCTGGAACTATAATTTGAGTAGCCCCAAAACCGATGACCCTCTGAAAAAAGTAATTGATCACTAGAAAACAAATTCTAATCAAATAAAAGAAGTAATCAAGAAGGAAAAGGTAAATAGAAGCGTAAAATCAATCCCCCACCTCAAAATTGAGAAGTGTAATTCACTATTATATTGGCTTTCTTAATGATGGAACTCTAAAGAAGACGATCTTTAAATTGCTTATATACTCAACGAAGATAACTAGTACTATTTCTAGCAAGTGTGACATCCTTGGTATTCATAATGATGGGGTTTGGATTTAATTAGTAGGATATTACAAAGACTATCAGATTGAGACAAGTGACAAGAGGAAGAGAGGGGTTAAAACAACAATCATAACCTATATATCCTTAATTATACTTTAAAAGAATTTAAGTTCTATGTATTTGCCAGCAAACAATATATTTACACAATTGGAAGGCTAGAAGGGACAAAAAAAGATCTCAACACACAATCACAATCTTTTGAGTGCACACAAAGGTAAACCCCTACAATAGCTTGCAAATCACACTGAAGAGATAAACTGCATTAGGCAAATTCCGTGGGACGAGCTTGAGTTGTATGTAAGTGGTTTCGAACTTGAGACCTCCATTATAAAAGTAGCAAGCCAAACCATCTTAGCAAGGGATTTCAAACTAAAGACCTCTATTATGGAAGGGTAAAAAAGAAGGATGTTATTATTTCTTCAACAAATTCAAATCTGTAGTGGACTCTGAGTAGGAAGTTACCATTACTCACGAGGCCTCTAACTCCCTTCCAACCATTCACGATTGTGAGAAAGGCAATTTAAATTTTGAAAATTAAAGGAATAAACTCACTTTAACGCCATGAATGATGGTCTGAACAATTTCTGGCACCATTCTTCGCGATTCGTCCATGGTTTTACCTTGTGATAAGCCATAAAAGAATTCATTTCCTCCGATTTCTCCAACTAAGAAAAGTGACTTGTTCATTTTTTCTGGGCAATCTAAGAAGAAAACAATTAATTGGATATATAGTTAGTGCAATTTGCAGAAGCAAATAATCATATTTAGCAAATTAATGAATTACCTGCAGGGGAGCATGTGGTCTGGAAATGAGAAGACATCCAATCAAGTTGCACAGTCAATGAACTATTTGTAAGTGCTATATTAACAATGTTGTTCTCTGCGAGGGATTTGGCAGATAAAGCAGTACACCCAGCTACTGCAAAATTCACACCATGTCTCAAATCTGCATTTTCATCCTTGTACGGATTTAGCAGAGGAAGACCAGATTCCACAGCTGTACGTTTTGATAGAGAAATTAATCATAAAAATTATCAAACACACATATCAATAGTAATTGGGGATTCAATTCAAACCTATGAAATCAATGATGAGCATGCCATTAGAACAACGCCCAGTTGCATTCTGGTAAAAATCCATTCCATAAGGAAGTGCTCCACATGACAAATTAGCTCCACAAAGGGTCTCTCTGATGCAATTGCCGGTATCGGAAAGTGAATCACCAAATTGATATATTTTATCAAATCTGCAATTCATCAATAGTGGATTTTGAAGCTTTAATACTTGTTGAGCATCGCCGACTTTCACCATTAAAATGAGCAAAGAAAGAAGCAAGGTTATTGTTGCTGCCATTTCAATTTGCCAAACAAAACTATTGAGCTTATGCACACTATTCTACATATATTCAGTAGCAGTATTATTTTTCCTGCAGGAAGTACAAGAGCCACGAGAAATTAATTAATTAACATTGATTCTCTGTGCTATCTAAATGCCAGCTACCCCAGATTTACTACTTTTTAAAAGAAAAAGGGTCAAATATACCCCCTTGCTATTTAAAATAATTTGATTCAATTATACCATTGGAGGAACGTGCAACTGATTTCCACGGATTTATAACAAGTTTAAATCATCTGCGATCTTTTAAATTTTTACATATAAATTTGTATCTATTAAATAGTGTTGCTTGTTAAACGAAATAGATATATAATTATGCTTAAGAGTTTGACTTATTAGATATTGACTTTTAAATATACTAATCTGCTAATCAATCAATAAGCCATCGGTTGGTTCGATACCGAATTAGTAACTAACAGGTGATTATAGAACGATGTATTGGCCCAATCATTTTATACTCTCTTCTTTTACTCACTCACCAATATATTAATCTCTCATCAAATAAAATTATTTTCCCATCCCTACTTAAATAATTGGTAATTTTGTAAAAATAAATCACAATGAAAAATATATGAAAGTCTAATTATTAATGGTACATGCATTTATTTATCAAATATACTTACGATAATAATGTAACTATGATAATTTTTAACGATTAATGATTTATTTAGAAAATTGAATAATCTCCTCTCGCACCAATAAATTGTTAACTATGAATTTTGTTGTTGTTTTTACATGTTTGTGTGTAAGAAATTTATGAAAAAAATAATAATTTGGAAGAATTCATATAGATTAATATCAAAGAAACATTTTATTTTATTGATAAGAAAAGAGATTTTTTTTTTTGGGGTGGGGGGGGGGGGGTAGGTGGTTAAAATTAGTACACCTTGGGAGTGTACCCAGGGGACACAATCCAATTAATTAAGCATGTGGCCACCAATATTAATTTCGCGTGATGGAGAAATACAGAAAACAGAACAATACTTGTTATAATAATATGTATTGTGTATTTATTATATATAATTATATTTTAAAAAAGTTGTCTTTTATAACTATACTTCATTATAAAAAAAAAATTAATATCATTCGTCTTTCTCCTCTCGTTTCTTCCCCTCTCTCACTACAACATATATGGAGCAGTTGGTTGGACAATAGCTCTTCCATACAATAAAACCAAAGTGCTTATAATCTTGAACCACATAAACTTGCATACATACATTTACCAGCCAAAACATTCACTTATTAACATTGACACAAGTATAACAAACATTAACATAGCCAGTGAAATTTTACAAAATAAAGTCTGAGGAAGATAGATTGTACGCAAACTTTATCAGTATCTCGTAAATGTAGAAAGACACAAAGTATAACTAATTTGAGAAACAAATACATGACCAGAATATAAAAGATTATCCCATATGACATAAAGATACATCTACCACATTACTATCAGGGAGCCCCACATAATCCAATATCTTGTTCATGACAAATAGTGCAAGATCCAACAAATTAAATCCCTATCATTTTTTAATTGCCACCCAACAATATAAGTTTTTTTTTCTCCAAAAATAAATTAAAAGATTGAATTTAAACAGGGCAGTTTAATTGTGGTATTATGTCATCGATTAGCCATTTTGTTAACCAACTGTATGCCCTTTGTGTTAAATGAAGTCCATCCCAACTTATGTAAATATTCGGGTCTGCACACGCTTCGACTCCTGGATCACCACATTTCATATCTTCTCTATAATTGTAGTCTCTGCCTATTCCACAACATGGTTTCAGTACAAAATTTTTGTCGAATCCTGAAAATTTATTTTAATAAAAAGAGTTAGTAATTTGCATGATTTTCTTCACTTTATCTAATCGTCCGTAGAGCCATTAAAATAAGTTGGGCCATGTGGTTGGCCCAACCCAACTTGTATATGAAAGAGAGATTTTAGCAGTTACCAAGAGCAACAACATTTTGTCGAAGCCAGAGATATGCATTGTAGTAGTCACCGTAAATGATTGAAATGTTTGGATACTCTCTCTTCAACATGTGAATTCCTCGTTTCAAATAATTGTTGTAATACATCATAAAATTGTTCCACTCTTTCACGCAACCATACTCATCGTATGTGGTTGAGGGTCTGGAATCAAATATCGTCAGGATAACCGGGTTACAACCCGCTGGAATATTACCTGGAACTACAATTCGAGTAGCTCCAAAACTTATGACTCTCTGAAAAAAGTCATAGTTAGTAAACAAATTTCAAGAGATCAAAACATAACAACGATGTATATATACTTACTCTAACACCACGAATGATGGCATGAACAATATCAGGCACCATTCTTCGCAACTCTTCCATAGTTTTACCTTGATTTAAGCCATAAGTGAGTTCATCTCCTCCTATTTCTCCAACTAGGAAAAGTGACTTTTCCAAATATTTTGGACAATCTAGCAACAAAATTAAGTAGAAAAAACATCAATGTAAATAATTAATAGCTTATATTATATACTATAATATATATAATTCCTTACCCGTAGAGCAAACTGAATTGAAATGAGAAGACATCCATTGAAGTTGCACACTTAATGTACTATTTGTGTATGACATATGAATTTTCTTCTTTGCTAAGGATTCGACTGATAAAGCAGTAGCCCCTGATACAGCGAAATTTGCACCATGACTAAAATCTGCATTTTCTTCTAAGGACGGATTTAGGAGAGGAAGACCACATTCCAGCGCTGTATATTATATTATCAGAGACATAATTAGTTGTGGATTCAACGTACGTAAATATATATATATACGTACCGATGAAATCAATCATGAGCAATCCATTAGAACAACGCCCCGTTACTGCTTTCTGGTAAAAATTCATTCCATATGGAGGGAATCTACACCCAGAACGAGCTCTACAATACGTCTCTCTCAGGCAGTTTCCGGTATCCGAAAGTGAATCACCAAACTGATAAATTCTATTAATTCCGCACTTTTTCATTTTTCCTTCTTCAAGCTTTATTAATATTTTTTGTGCGTCAGCTTGAAGAAGCAACAAACTCATTATTATTATTATCAAGAGATGAAGCACTACTACAACTCTAATTGTCAATGCCATGATCCAATCTGAATTCTTACGATTAGTAGAATATTTGTGGTTGGTTATATAGAGAGTAGGGGTGTCAATGCTATGGTTCGGTCGGTTATTTTTAAAAAAAATATACCATCTCAATTTTTTGGGTATTATATAATATATAATCAAAATTAGATTTTTTAAAATCATTCCAATCATATCGGTTGGTTAATTTTCAAATTTTTTTTACTTTTTAAATATCACTTCAAAATATAGTACTATTAAAATATTTCTTTCGTAAATATATTCTTGAAGAAACACTTTAATTCTTCACCAAGAAGACAAGAATGTAAAACTTTATTGTCGTATTGTTTGATCTTAAATATTTAATAGGAGTGTTTGTATAGGGTTTGTTGTATTGTTTGATAGAGTATCTATTACAGTGTCTTTTAATTTTAAACTCATTAAGTAAAAGCTAATTAAAGAGCAAAGTCCCAAAGTCGTCTAGTCACCACAGACCTAGGTTATATTTATATTTGAAAAAATGTTATAAAACATATTTATATATTAAATTTAACATATTGTTAATTTACAAAATATATTTACATATGGTTATTCGGTTTGATTCGGAAATTTTTCAATTTTTTTCATAAATTAAAATAATCATCACAATTGTTCGGGAAATTATACACTTGGATAAAAGTTTACGATTGTATTGAAAAAACAACATAAATCAATTAGATTCGATCGATTTTTTATATTCTTTTGACACTCTCAATAGAGAGGAGGATAAGAATGGCAGGACCACGTACATGACATTAAAAAAAAAAATCTCAGCTAAATATAGCAAGTCGATCGAACAACAATCGTTACCTTTTGTGTACCTCAGAAAATGATTCATGCATCAGTAATTGATTCTGCTTATTTAAGTGAGACGTACTTGTTGAGAACTAGCTAATTTAATGCCAGTATACCATAAGACCTATTCTCTTTCAATTTGTATATCCTAGTAATGTAAAATAATTATTTTACTTACATGACTACATTAGTACAAAAAAGTGGAAGTTGTAATATGAAAAAGAGATAAAAGGGTAAAAAAAAAACACATTTAAATCATGCATTTTTTTAGTTTCATACCTAAACTATTAAAATTATAAGTTTCATATATAAATTATAAGATTGACTGCCCTCGATAAGAAAATTCGTAACTCGTCCATGGTTTTACCTTGCTTTAAACCATAAATGAAGTCATCTCCAAGTTTGAAATATGGCTTTACCAAATATTTTGGGCAATCTAGTAACTGGAGTTAATAATAATAATAATAATTATTATTATTATTATTATTATTATTGTTGTTTTTTTTTTTATTATTATTATTATTATTTTTTTTTTTTTTATTACTATTATTATTGTTATTTTTATTATTATTATTGTTGTTTTTTATTATTATTATTATTATTAATGTTATTATTTTTTATGTTGTTGTTATTATTTTTTTATTGTTATTTTTATTATTATTGTTGTTGTTGTTGATTGAACCACACAAATTAACGAAACCATGTTAAATGTTTGTATGTATTTTGATATGCTTCTCCTTGGTCTTCTTGCATGACTTGTTAAATGTTTGTATCTATTTTGAGATGTTTCTCCTTAGTTTTCTCGCAGGGCTAACCCATTGGTGGCCCGCTAAACTTGGCACGATCTTTCACTTAAACATCTTAATTAGGCTTTGTTCATTTTAGACACCTCATGTCACGTCCAACTATGTCAATTTGACACTTTTTCGACAATCTGCCAAATTTGTAAGGTGTGTGTAAAACACTCGTTGATGATGTGTCAAAGTGACGAATTAAATAAAGACACATGGCATATATATATATAAAAAAATTTATCAAATGATGAATCTTGAGTAGGAAAAAAACTACCAATGACTCATTGACATGTGGCATTTCTTTAACTAAATAATTTTTTTAAAAAAACACTTTTAATAAAAAGAAAATTATACCCACACCACCCCCAGATTGTCTTCTCTACTACCCACCTCCACCTCAAACCCCAACCCTTCTCTCTCACTCAAATTTTCTTCTCCACCCACCACCACCCCCGACCCTCCCCCACCAAATGTAGGATTTGATAATTGAAAATATGATTTCTTGCCATTTTTGAGTGTTTTTTTCTTCTTGAAATTTATGTTGATTTTCTCAAATTATTTTGAGGAAGAGGACAACAAAATAAGTGAAAGTATTTAAGCTTAAAATTTATGGGCGCTAGAATTCACTTTTTGTTTGTGACATCGTCAAATTTATTTCACCATGGAAGGAGTTTAAGCTTGGAAAATGGTAGCCAAAAAATGGGGAAGAAGAAGAAGAAAAAAATAATTAAAATTTGGTAAAATGAGGCTCTCACGCGCGTCTAGTGAATGTATCACACTTGCTATGCCATCTCAACAGAAAGTGTCAAATTGACACAGTTGGGCATGACATGAGGTGTCTAAAATGAACAAAACCTAGTTAAGATGTTTAAGTGAAAGATCGTGCCAAATTTAGGGGGCCACCAGGGTTAAGCCTTTCTTGCATGACATGTTAAATGTTTGTATCAATTTTGATATCTTTCTCCTTAGTCTTCTTACATGACACTTGATTACAAGAAAACGTATTCTTAAATAGGAATGAAATTAATTAATGCTGTTGTTGTCTCGTACATACGTGACCCATACAAACAAAAGAGAGATTAAAAGCCGCAATTGGTTTTTCTTTTCTTTTCTAGACGCAAAAATATTCTCAAATAAAGAAAAAGATTTAAAAAATAATAATACTCTACTTGTTTGATATTGTAAAAAAATAAATTACGTAACTAAAACGGGCAATTGATTTTTCTCTTCTTTCCTTGCCGCAAAAATATTTTAAAAAAAGAAAAAGACAAAAGTATAATACTCTTCTTGTTTGAGATTGTTAATTTTTTTTGGGAAAAGGATAAAAAATGTTCTTAAACTATGTAAAAAGAACAAAAATGTCCTTCATTTATAGTTTGGCTAAAAAATATCCTTACCGTCAATACTTTGGTTCAAAAATGTCCTTGCAGTCAATACTTTGGTCCAGAAATGCCCCTATAGTTACAAGATGGGTCAAAAATGCCCTTTTCCCAATAAATATATATTTTTTTCTTTTTAAATACATCTTATTCCTAATTAAAATATTATTAAAGAACACTATTCTTGTTTTCTTTCTTCTAAAATCACTTTAACAAATAAAAATGTAGGAAATTTTTTTTTCTTCTTAATCTCATTTTATCAATTAAAATAGAATAACGCCATGTACCCTTTTGACAGATAATATATGTCATATATATATAAGATCATAGTATATCCATCATAATTTATATTTATATAGCGATAAAAAAATAATGATAATAAAAAAAGATATTTTCATTTTTTATTTTTTTTCTGAATTGAAGTAAGATAAACATTTGCTAATTTTAAATAACATTATTAGAAAAAGAATGTGTTAAAAGATGAAAATGAGCATTTTTGACCCATTAAATAACACTAAGGGCATTTTTTTACCAAAGTATTGACGGCAAGGGTATTTTTGGAGCAAACTACAAATAGAGGGCATTTTTATTCCTTTCACATAGTTTAAGGACGTTTTTGAACTAAAGTATTGACGGTAAGGACATTTTTGAACCAAACTATAAACGGAGGACATTTTTATTCTTTTCACATAGTCTAAGGGCATATTTGACCCTTTTCCCATTTTTTTTTAATAAACTAGAAGCACCCAATTGCCTTTTCTTTTTAAGTGGTGTGTATTTATATGCTATCAACTAATAAAATTATCCGCTCCTCACGCGAGAATTTAATATCACTGAATTTAACCTTCTGCTCGTCCAAGATCATTAACTAAGATCGGAAGATTCAACTAAAGAAGAGGAAGCTAGAAAGGAGAACTTGTTTATGGAAGAAGACTCTTGAATTGTCTTTGTTTTGGATTTGAGTTGGGTTATTTACAAATTCCTAATGCCACCCCTATTTATACTTATATAGGGATGCTTCTAGAAATTATTCTAGATAGTTCTACAAGAATAATCTAGATATCCTTATCTTCTAACTATGTAACAAAAACCTAGATATTTCTATATTTTACTATAAATATCTAATTATCTAGAATCTCTAGATTTTTCACTCTACAAAATTCTAGAAAATTCTACTAAATATCTAAGATATTTTTTATACCTCCAACAAATCAACTTTAATTTTTCGCACACGTCAGTGATTTCACCTTGCTTAAAGTCATAAATGATGTCATCACCTCCTATTTCTCCCACTAGGAAAAGTGAATTTTCCAAATATTTTGGGCAATCTATCAAGCAAGAATTGTAGAAAAATATCAATATAAATATTCTACAAGCTTAGAGACTAATTAAACTACACCAATTAATGAATTCCTTACCAGGAAAGCAAATGGATTTGTAATGAGAAAACATCCATTGAAGTTGCACACTTAATGTACTATTTGTGTATGATAAAGCAGTAGCCCCTGATACAGCGAAATTCGCACCATGACTAAAATTTGCATTTTCTTCCATGGACGGATTAAGAATAGGAAGACCACGTTCCAGCGCTGTATATTAATTATGAGACATAAATTAAACACAAAAATGCATAACAAGAAATTTCTCAACCTTAATCATACCACAAAAATATATGTATACTCTTATAGTATCATTGACTAATAAGTAATTTCTGAGCAAGAAACTTTAATGATATCAATACAGTAGATGTATATACTGATTTAGTATATATCAGTTAAGCAAAATTATCAGTCTTAATGATATCAATACCATATATATAGTGTAATTAAATTAAGCGAAATTATTCAGATTCAGTTTATTAGGTCTATTTGTTTCTTTTAAAAAATGGTTTCTTATTGGATCTGAAAATTTGAATGAGTTAGATCTGTAGGAAAGTCATAACACCTTTAGACTTATTTAATAATAAATTTATAATTGTGCAACTTTCCTCCCCTCGTTGCAAACTTTCTTCCTCTCTTTTCTCAACCAAACACCCATTTTTCCTCTTGAATTAGTAAATTTTTATAATCGTATTTTTTTTATGTTAATAATTTTAAAGTGCATGATGTTTGTCAAGAACTTGGTAGAGAGAAGATGTTTGGCTTACTTGGCGCACAATATTTGAGATACTAGTATTGAGACTCCTATGATTGAGTCTATTCCAGTGGTGAGTGAATTTTCGGAGATATTTTCGACAGATTTATCAGGTCTTCTGTCTGATCGTGATAAATTAAATTAAAAGTACCTTTCTTTTTTAACTAGCCACAAAGAACATCCTCAAATAAAAGAAAAAGGGTAAAATGTAACTTATTGAGGTTTATAAGCCTTCAACTTTATGATAAACCTTTTAATTTTATCACTTAGAGCTGATATATCTCTTGTTACAAATGTGACTTACATATTTATGATAATATAAATATATGTGAGCCATTTTTATTTTTATACTAAAAAATATATCAAACTTTAAATCACAAAATTAATGAATAATGTCCTTTTCCCAAGATTTTTTTTAAAAAAGTTTTAGGTGAAGCATTTGGGCCACCTGGACTTTGGAAAAAGTTGGTACTTGACGATGAGGCGTTTGGTAGAAACAAAATGCCTTTTTTTCGTAATAAGAATTTCATAAGATAATTGATTTACTGTATTTGTTTAATTTCTCATATTTGAAAAGTAAGCAAAAATGCATTATCACAAAAATAATATTAAGGGGTCGTTTAGCATTAAGATTAATAACGTAGAGACTAATAATATATGAATTATTTTTTATCAAGTGTTTGGTTCATCGCTAAATTTGACATTTCAATTTACGCTAGATGTCATCAATTAGTGTTAATTTAGCCGCCACCTAATGTATATAAAAATTGTAGAACTTATTCAAAGCAACAATTAGCCATCATGTGCAGAGAGACTAATAAAATATGTTACAGACAGATAATAAATAGAATATTTATCGATGATTTATGTTGTTATTTGTACAATAATTATCAAAAAATTATGGAGTTATATTTTCGGTTGGCTTGAACGAAGATTATGCAATTTATAAATAGTCAATTAAAAAAAAAATCACGTGTAAGAGAAGAAAGCAGTATACATCGAAATTAAAATTTGAACTTAATCATGACAGTTCAATTGGGGCAACATGTCATCAATTAGCCATCTTGCCAAATATTTATATGCTTCTTGTGTCATATGAATTCCATCCCAATTGATATAAGTGTTCGGGTTAGCACACACTTCAACTCCTGGAAACCCACATCTTTTACGTATGTTATAATTATAATCTCCTCCTCCTGTTCCACAACATGCTTTCTGTAGAGAGTTTTTATCGAATCCTGAAAATATATTTCAATCAAGAAAATTCTTAATTACATATGACTTTTGACCTCAAAAATTGAAAAAAGAAACGACATTCTTTTAGAACTTACCAAATGTCACTGCATTTTGTAGTAACCACATATAGGCATTGTAGTAGTCACCATAAATGAGTGTAATGTTCGGATGTTTTTTCTTCATTTCATCAATAGCTTGTTGCAAATGATTGTTGAAAAAGATTGATAAACTATTTAAATCTTTCAAACAATGATAGTCGTCGTAAGCATTTGAGTTGTCAATCATGAATCGCGTTAGAAAAATTGGGACACAACCAATAGGAAAATTGCCTGGAACTATAATTCGAGTAGCCCCAAAATCGATGACCCTCTGAAATGAAAATAACAATCGATCATTAGAAAAAAAAATTAGATAAATAAAAATCAAAAGTTCATACCAAAACCTCACTTTAACACCATGGATGATAGTTTGAACAACAACTGGCACCATTCTTCGCAACTCTTCGATGGTTTTACCTTGTAATAAACCATAATTGAATTCATTTCCTCCTATTTCTCCAACTAGGAAAAGTGATTTCTTCAATTTTTTTGGACAATCTACCAGCAAAATTAATAAAACGCGCGTCATTGAAATTAATTAATCAGTTTTATAATTAGCTAGAGAGCTAAATTAATTAATTAATTACCAGTGGTTTGAAAATGTGAAGACATCCAATCAAGTTGCACAGTTAATGAACTATTGGTAAATGCTGTATTAAAAATCTTGTTTTCCGCCATAATTTCAGCTGATATACCAGTACACCCTGCTACTGCGAAATTCACACCATGTCTGAAATTTGCACTTTGATCCTTGTAAGGATTTAGAAGCGGAAGACCCGATTCCAATGCTGTCACAATAATCATGAAAAAATAACCTGTCATACAAATTTTTGACGAATGAATGTATCTATTTCGAACATACCTATGAAATCAATCATGATCATGCCATCAGAACAACGTCCCGTTGCGCTCTGATAAAAATTCATTCCATAAGGATGACTTCCACAATCAGAATGAGATTGACAAAGAGGCTCTCTCTTGCAATTGCCAGTATCAGAAATTGAATCACCAAATTGATATATTCTATCAATTTTGCAATTTCTCAATCTTGGTTTTTCAAGCTTGATTAATTCTTCTGCATCACTTTTCTGTTGAAAAATCAACAAACAAAGAATCACTATCACATGAAAGATTATGCCAACTGTCAACGCCATTTTTATTGATTATGGAAATTTTAAACACCCAAATCACAGCTTTATAAGCAAGCAATCTAGATTAATAACAATAAAAACAGCAATATTATTAGTGCCAGCTAGCAAGATATTATTAAATTATCAGGATAACAATTTTAAAGTATTACATGATAATTCACGCGATTAGTTATATATATTTAATAAGCACTTAACTTGTCTGTATTATTTCCTCTCTTTTTTTCTTCTTATAAAATAGTTCCCTTTATTCATCATACTTTTTTTTAATTCCTTCAAAAAATAATGTCATAACTCATAACTTAACTTTAAATCTCACTTTTAGCTTTAGTGAAATAATTTATAACTATCTAAGCGGTTAAGGATACTTTAGACCATAAATTTATGAAGTTTTTCTTTTTTTTCTTAATATTTGTGCTAAGTCAAAACAATATCAAATTGCTTGGTGTTACAAAATGATAAATTATCTCTTAATTTTCATAACTGAACAAGTATTGTTGGACATTCCAAATTAGTTTAATGAACAAGTTTAGTTTAGTTTACTAACCGGAGGGAGTAATATATAACCAATGTATATCTATGAAGAAAAATTTAACCCCTTAAATCCAATTAACTATACATTAGGTAACAATTTCGCTTGTATAATTTATTGATCATCACATAGCACATGAGACAGCGTTACATTACACGCCACCATGTGTTTTTAAACAGTGTAATTAATTAATTAAAATCTTAATTTATTCCCATGTGATGTGCAATATGGGCATACATGTCTGATAATAAAATAAAAGCAATTATTTTCCCAGTTGACTATAGTGTTAGTGTTTACCCTAAAATAGCCCCAATTGAATTTGTAACTTCATTATACGTGAATTGAATTGACTAATGACTAATCAGATAATTATGACGGAATGAATCAAAGAAAATAATATAGCAATTTATCGAATGTAAATAAAACTAGCTTGTTTAGCGGAATTTTGAATGTTCATAATGAAGATGATTCCAAATTGACTTTATCTTTGATGAACAACTCAATTTTCTCCTAGTTTTTTCCTCCATTCATTATGTCCAAAGAAAAACTACTTTAACTACTTAATTCCTTAATTAACAACTAATAATCACAATCATTACAAATATTTTCTAGTATTTCGATCGTATCTGTTTCTTTTTGTGGGATTTTCCCTTTTATTATAACTTTGTTTGATAGCTTACGTTAATGTTTTATTCAATAATTTATAATATTTTATCTTTTATGAATTTGTATTGAATTACTTTTGCGTTTTTGGTTATGAGAGCTAATGAATCTAATCAAACACTTAATTTGCAAGATCATTGAATTTGTTTCACTAGTTAAAAAGTGTAATCACATACAGAAATGAAGTACACCATATAAAGTCACAATATGTAATCACATATTTATTACCATTGTTCGCTTTTCAGAGAAGAAACTTTCACAAAAATTTCCGCTGGAACTTTACAGGAATTGGAGAAGAAAGAAGGAGAAGAATTTCTACTCTTTTGAACTTTTTAGAGAAAAAAAGTTTGATTTCTCCTATGAGAACCCTTTTATAATTTTTAAGGGGCATAACTATTTAAATAATTGTGTCTCTTTTCTTATATTTATTCATATATAATACATGATTTATATATATATTAGTTTCTGGACACGTGCTTCGCACGTGTGTTCCATACAAGTAGTTCATACAAAATAAATCATATTAAAAATACATTGTAATAAATAATAGAATAAATTGAAAAAGTACAAGCTAAAATAGATGAATAGTCAGTTTATATTCAAATGACTTCTTCGTTGAACAATATTAGATGATTAAATATTATTTGAAACTACAAAATTCAACAACTAAATTTATCTAGATAGGTAAAATGTATAATGAATTATATTTTGAGCAACATTTAATGTATTGATATATTATATGATACCCTTTCATAAGTAATGTTCTTGATGTATATTCCATTTGTTGTTTTGATTACCGATTTCAATGGTTAGAGTAGTTTCATTCATCAACTTATAATTATATAATTAGGAGAACATTAATAAACAAATATCACCAAAATATTATATATGAATACCTATTCTTTTTCATTTATCCACATTTTTTTTTACCAATTTCAACAAATTTAAGGTATCAAAAATTAAAGTTTCAAACAACTTCAAGCTAAGCAAAGACTTAAAGCTAATGATAAAGGTATGACATATAAGAGGACCAAAGGTCAATCTCTAACACTTCTATGTCAATACATCAGTTTGATTTTAACTCATAAACATGAATATAAAAAACATTGATAATTTATAAAACTTAAAACTCATAAAATATCATATAAACAAGAATAATATATTTTTACGAACCAGAAAATAACAAAGCTAAAAAATGAACTTACTCGTTAAAATCTTTCCTCTACTGCCTCCCCTAATGGAGAGAGTTGTACATAGTCTTGATTTATGAATTCATTTATATAAGTTGATCATTGAGCATAATTTAATGGAATAGATAGATCATTCATTATCAATTAAGTTAGGTAACAAAAGAATATCAAAAGTTTTATTGTTGGAGACGAAAAGACTTAAACTATGATACAATGTTCTTTTCAACTTCCAAACAACAGCTACGTATAGTCATTGTTATGAGATTTATACATTGCAAGTACAAAAAAAACTAAGAAAAAGAATAAACAAAAATTACACAAGAAAATATTTTGTTAAGAAAACATTGTATATGCTACATATTAAGATAATATGCTATAATAAGTATTGATAGATGAACAATATAACAGGTAGAAGCTTCAATCAAACTAATAAATGTTGGAATGTGAAAAGGTTGTATTCTAATTAATATTGAGGAAATTTGCTTCTCTAATAACTACTGGTAGATGAACCATCTATTTCAATGCATATAATTATTAATAAATTTTATATTTTAAAACTATAATTGCTAGACTTTTAATGTTATCTTTATTATAATTAAATATTATTATTTATTAAGTTTAAAATATTATTATTTATTAAGATATTTGATTAAATTTATATTTAGTGTAGGGATAAAATGGTAATTTAATTTTTCATTTTGGAGTTTTCCACTTATAATAATACTAGGTAATGTTGCCCGTGCTATGCACGGGCACGGGCCCAATAATATAAATGGTATGTTTTGGGGCTAATAAAGGAGATTTTGAAGCGATTGTTTGCGTGGATAAAGGAATAAGTTTTTTTATCACAAACTTGTACTTTATTTGACGCTATTCAAGGCACAATAAGACTATCCACATACAAATTTTTTGAAATATTTTATGTTGTCAATTATCATGATTTATAGTATTTTTACGATAGATTCACTTAAAGAATGAGTGGAATTTTTTGTATTTTTTTTCAAAACATATTTTATGTTGTCAATTATCATGATTTATAGTATTTTTACGCATTTTTTAAATATAAAAAACCCCAAAAAAAATAAGACAAATAAATTAAAATGGACCTAATATATGTTATTTTTGTTGTCTCAATTTATGTCACACAAATAAAATTTGGAGAGTCATCCAAATTTTAATTTTTTTTTAAAAAATGTTTTAAGTTATTAATTATTGTGATTTATAATATTTTGATGTAACTTTCAAATAACCAACATTACTGGTCACTTTGTCCTAATTTATGTGATATGGATAAAATTATAAAATTAACCCTTTTAAAATGTCTTTCAGATATTTTAAGTTGTTAATTATTATTATTTATAACACTTTTTTGGTAATTTTAAAATGATATGTGTTATTTTTTCTGTCCTAATATATGTGAGCCTGAAAGAATTATGAGAGTGAACCTATTTTATTATATAGCTTTTAAATATTTTAAATTGGTAATTATTGTAATTTTTAATGCTTTTTAAGTCATTTGTAAATGATATATGTTGCTTCCTTTGTCCCATTTTATATAGTATAAATAAAATTGCCGAAACCAACTAATTTTTTAAAATATTTTAAATTATTAATTATTGCGATTTATAATATTAAAAAAAAAGTACAAAACTTGTATCAGCCTAAAAAATGACCACGATAATTCGAAGCGTACAGAAAGCAATATGGTTGTACGTAATTTTTAAATACTTAATATATATTACTCCACTTGTCTCAATGTATGTAGCATTGATAAAATTTCAAGATTCAATCAAATGTTGTTAATTGTTAACATTTATAATACATTTTACGTTGTTTTCAATAATTTCACATTAAACAATACATATTACTACTTTTGTCTCATTTTATGTGACATTGATAGATTAATTTTAAGAATCAGTCAATTTTTTTTTCTGTTTTTTTAATAAATATTTTAAGTGGTCAAAATCACGATTTATTGTATTTTATACATAATTTTTAACGATAGATTAATTTCAAGAATTAATCAAATTTTTTTATATGTATTTATTTTTGAAATATTTTATGTTGTCAATTATCATGATTTATAGTATTTTTACGCAATTTTTAAATATAAAAAAAATTAAGACAAATAAATTAAAATGGACGCAATATGTGTTATTTTTGTTGTCTCAATCTATGTGACACAAATGAAATTTGGAGAGTCATCCAAATTTGCATTTTTTTTAAAAATGTTCTAAGTTATTAATTATTGTGATTTATAATATTTTTATGTAACTTTCAAATAACTTACATTGATGGTCACTTTGTCCTAATTTATGTGATATGAATAAACTTACAAAATTAACCCTTTTAAAATGTCTTTCAGATATTTTAAGTTGTTAATTATTATTATTTATAATACTTTTTTGGTAATTTTGAAATGATATATGTTATTTTTTCTGTCCCAATATATGTGACCCGGATAAAATTTTGAGAGTCAACCTATTTTATTATATATCTTTTAAATATTAAATATTTTAAGTCATTTGTAAATGATTTATTATATTATATTATTATATATTATATATTATATAAACTCCCTTATAGTAGAAAAATAAATATATATTATATAGTAGAAAAAATGATTTATTATATTATATATTATATATTATATAGGGATGTATGATTGGACATTACAATGTCCCATCATAAACTCCCTCTTATATAATAAGAGAATATATGATATATTCTCTTTACATGAAGTAGAATATATCACTCCTCCATTTCAAAATAATTGAATTATTGAGACATTTTTCATATTTTATATTAATTTGATTGTTCAATTTTCAAAATTACTTCTAGAATATTCTTTCATTTTTACCCTTCATTGAGATTTTCTATGTGATAAGTTCAAGAAACTTTAATTCCTTTGAATTATTTTTTACGTGATGATTAGAATTAATTATTATGATTAACATTTAATTATTCTAAAGATTAATTTGATAATAATTAATAAGAATAAAAATATAAAATAATATTTAACTTATATCCTAATCTTCTTTTCTTAAAGGATCTGAAATAGTTCTAACAATTTAATTATTTTAAAATGAAGATATTAGCTTCTAATATCATGCTAGGAAAACAACAAAATAAATGTGTAATGTTTGAAAGGGAGGTTCAGTTGGCAGAGAGCAACAAGTCCTTATTATGGCATTTTTAGGCGTATCTGCAAAGTACGGTAATTACAATACACATTTGAGAGTACGAGGGCTGATATCTATCGCATAAAAAATTTATTACAACATATTTAGGCATTTTATGGACGGTAACATGAAGAGCAAGGAAATCTTTCGGTTATTGCCCCATTAAGAATGAATAATACGATATCAAATTGAATATTTTATATTCACATATAAATTGTTTTTTAGAGAAAATGATATTTGACTAATCCATGAAAATTCAACTGATATTGGGAAGACAATTATGTCAAAGAACAAATATTGAAAATATGTAGAATATAAAATTCATTAAAAAGTAAGAATTCTACAATTTTTAGGTTTTTGCTATATGTTTTTTTTTTTTTTTGATTTCTTACCTAGTGTCCAGAGCCCACATTGGAGCTTCGACTAAATTTGGATCGCGCTCTGCAGGGCCCATTCAGGGGTGGCGCTCCCAACAGGATTTTCTCCATACCCAGGGCTCGAACCTGAGACCTCTGGTTAAGAGAGAAACACTCTCACCAATGCACCAATTTAATATTCAGATATTAAAAAATTATTATTCAAAACAATAATAAGGTTATTAAATATATTAATTACAGAGTAAAGTGTGAGTAAGTTATCTAATAAAAAAAATTAATTGTTTTGCAGTTGGCTACATATCATAACAATGAAATGAAAAACGCGCAAAAGGGATGTTCTTTTTCTTTCCAAGCCACAAAAAATATCCTCAAATGAAAGTAAAATGGTAAAATAAAACTTTTTAGGTTTTCAAAGTTCACATTTTAAATTAAACCACTAAATTTGAGACGAAATTTTTTTTATAAAAAAAAAGAAGCTTTGGTGAAGCAATTTTTTTTAAAAAAATTTCGTCTGATGTCTGATATTCATATTGAAATACAATTAATTTGAATTCGCACTGCATTAAGCCTATTCAGAGGAAGCATTTGGGTCACCTGGACTTTGGAAAAAGTTGGTACTTGACTCTTGAGGGTGTTTTTGTTAAAAAAAAGTTTTATCGTAAAGTAATATATCTTAAAATAAGTGATTTATTTTTTAAATTTCACATATTTGATAAGTAAACAAAAACATACTATCGCAAAAAACATTAAGTAGGCGGGCTTGTGTGGAGAGCAGGGGATCGGGGGGTCAAAGGGTATGGGTTGGGCCGTTGGGGGTATTTTGATTCAGATATAAGGAGAGACAAAGAGCTTGAAATTCAAATTTTGAAATTTACTTTTCACTATTATGAAGTCATTATCGTAATTTTTAAAGAACTTATTTTTTAAAATAAATTTTCTCAAAAGCACTTAACATTTTCAAAAAATATTGGTTAAGATGTAAAATTCTCAATCAATATACATTTTGATTGATCAATTTTGCCAAGGAAAGAAGAAACAAAATCATAAAGTTAGCATCTTAATTTAAGTCAGTTGTCATCAATCAATGTTAATTTAGCTATAATCTAATATATCGAAGAATTGTAGAGCTCATTCAAAGACTCAACAATTAGTCATCATGTGCAGAGAATAGTAATATATGTTACAAATAAATAGATAGAAAATGAGATTTACAGATGATTTATTTGTTATTTGTACTATAATTATTGAATTTAAACATCACAGTTTAATTTGGATAACATGTCATCAATTAACCAATTTGTCAACCATTTATATGCTTTTTGTGTCAAATGAACTCCATCCCAATTGATGTAAGTATTTGGGTTAGTACACACTTGAACTCCTTGAGATCCACATCTTTTATGTATGTTATAATTATAGTCGCCTCCTGTTCCACAACATGCTTTTGGTAGAAAGTTTTTATCGAATCCTGAAAATATATTTCAATCGAGAAAACTCTTAAATTCATATGATTTTTGTCACTTCTATCTCTCTTTATAAATAGATGTGTATGTGGGGTGGGGGGTAATTTGACCTCTAAAATAGGAAAAACAAACAACGTTGTAACACTTACCAAGTCTTATGGCATTTTGTAGAAGCCACATATAGGCATTGTAGTAGTCACCATAAATGAGTGTAATGTTTGGATACTTTTTCTTCAATTCATCAATGGCTTGTCGTAAATGATTGTTGTAAAAGATTGCAAAATTATTTAAATCTTTCAAGCAATGATATTCGTCGTACGCTGTTGTTTTATTAGTCATGAATTGCGTTAACATACCCGACATACAACCAATTGGAAAATTGCCTGGAACTATAATTCGAGTTGCTCCAAAATCAATGACCCTCTGAAAATAACAATTGATCATTAGGAAATAAAATTAGACAAATATAAGTGTATAATCATAGTGTTGTTGAAAATTTAAGCTCAAAACCTCACTTTAACAGCATGAATGATGGTCTGAACAACTTCTGGCACTATTTTTCGCAATTCTTCGATGGTTTTACCTTGCGATAAGCCAAAATTAAATTCATTTCCTCCGATTTCTCCAACCAGGAAAAGTGACTTTTTTAATTTTTCTCGGCAATCTACCAGCAACATCAAGAAAACGTCAATGTCAATTTAACTTGCCACTAATATACTCGTCAACTTTATGATTAGAGCAGATATATCTCGTTAAAAAGTAGTGTATGTATACTCTTATTTAACAAATTGGGCATATATATCATCTGTGTCTACAAATGGTGTATATATACCTTTCTCGTTAACAGATGAATTAAAAAAAATAAACAAATTTTTTTTACTCCCTCCATTTTTCTATGCACCTAGACCTGACCCAATAAAAATAGAAAAAACGATTTGATATATCCTCAACTTTGTCTTTTAGACTTATTATAATCCCCATTATGAAAGTGCTCATATATATATATATATATATATATGAGTAATTTCCCTAGATAGTCACCCATGTTTGGGAAATTACCTAAGAATATCACTTATGCTTGTTTTATGACCACAATATCACCCAACTTTACCTCTTTTCCTCAAAATATACTTGACACAAAAAAAAAATTATCTCTCTCCTAATAGGATGCCATGTCACATTATTCCTTTTTTATTATTAACATTTTTTATTATTCTTTAAAAATATTATATCATTTGTAGTTTGACAATATGGTTACCTTATTACTCTAATGAATTAAAATATCAACAAAAAGGGAGTCCGAAGCTAAAAGGGTCATTTTTTTCCTTCAAAAAAAAAAAATAACCAAAAGGAAAAAATCCCTCCTGACGGATCGATTTTCTTCTGACAAAAAATGACGTCGTTCCGTTAAAAGAAATGAAAATCGCTGCAAATAGTAGCGCTTTTATTAAAAAAAAAAAAAGTAAAATCACTGTTGTTAAGGAATTAAAAAAAAACATAAAGAACAAGTTTTAAATTACATAAATTTTCAGCGGCAGCCATTTAAAAAAAAAACAAGTTTTTAAAAGAAAAAATCACTGCCGAAGCAGCGATTTTCAGTTTTAATTTTCATTTAAATCGCTGAAAGGGTAAAGATTTTTTAAAAAAAAGCTTTTTATGAAAATCGCTGGCTTCAATTTTAATTTTTTTTAATTTTTTTATTAAATTCTCTTCAAGGGTAGGATTTTTTTTAAAAAAAATAATTTTTTAAACAAAATCGCTGCTATTTTAATTATTATTTTTTTAAATATAAAAACGCTGTTATAGCAGCAATTTTAAAGAAAAATATTTTTTTGAGAAAATTGGCAGCGATTTTTATTTCTTTTAGCAGAGCGGCGTCAATTTTTGTCAGAACAAAATCGCTCCGTCAAGAGCGATTTTGCCCTTTTGGTTATTTTTTTTTTGATGTGCCGTTTTTGTTTTTTAAAGAAAAAAGTTGCACTTTTGGCTCTGGACTCAACAAAAAGGTGCCATTGCCCATTAGTGCCCATATAAAACATTATCTCGCTTGAAAAATCGGAGGAAGCCACATATTTTCTTGAAGAATCGGAGGAGCTCATATTTGGATTTGCCGCCTAATCCCCTAGAACTAAGGTAAAAAATTTTGGGCTATGTAATTTTATTTTACTAGGTAATATGGGTTGTCTAATTTTTTTTAAAAAAAATGTTAATAATGAAAAAGGAATAATGTGACATGGCATCCTATTAGGAAAGATATAATGTTTTTTTTGTGTAAGTATATTTTGAGGAAAAAAGATAAAGTTGGGTGATATTGTAGTCCTAAAACAAACATAAGTGATATTCCAAAATAATTTCCCAAACATGGGTGACTATTCAGGGAAATTACTCATATATATATATATTGTTACACAAATGACTCACATATACCTGTTTTCTCTAAAATATTTTTAAAGTTTTTTATTAAAAGAAAATCTATATAAGGGTATATTTGATCATTCTCACATATAATTTTTTTTTTAATTTTTTGTTTCAACGATTAATTTAGATTTATTATTTTGATGACCAAATTTAATTTTTTTTCACAACTTTTCTTGTAAATTAATCATACATGCCCTAGATTTTTTTTATAAATATAAAAACTAAATTGCAATATAGCCGCAATAAAGTAGTTTAATTTTTTTTTTCTCTTTTTTTCATTCACACTTCTTTTTTTTATTTTCTTATTTTTCCACCAAAAAATAACATAAAAAAATAAGAATGAAACTCAAATAACGATAATCAAAGAAGTCGAAAAATAATTCATGTGTAAAAAGCATTAAACATAACCTTGAACTTTGCTAGTAAAAAAATTCATGTATGGGTATATTATTTTACTTTCTCAACAACAATATACTCCTAGTCCTAGATGAATTTTTTAAAAAATAAAAAAATCATTTTTCACTTCCGTTAAAGTATATGTGAATCATTTTTTTGTAATGGTAAGAATATATGTCAGACACTTTTGTAACTATAGAGATGTATATGTTTGTTATGAGTGTATATATCTGCTCTAAATGACAAAGTTGGATGGTATATGATGACGTTTTCTTATCTAATAAACACAATTCTTCATCTATTTAGACAACAATGTATGAATGCACCATTTTCTTAAGGAAGAAAATATTTGTTCTGAATTGTAAAATTAAGGGATGTATTTGCCTCTTTACCCCTAGTTTATACTAATATTTAACAAAATCAATTAATTACCAGTGGAGCAGGTGGTTTCAAAATGGGAAGAAAACCAATCAAGTTGCACACTCAATGAACTATTGGTAACTTTATTTAAAATCTTCTTATCTGCCATTATTTCATTGGATAAAGCAGTAGCCCCTGCAACTGCAAAATTCACACCATGTCTGAAATTTGCACTTCGATCCTTGTATGGATTTAGGAGCGGAAGACCCGATTCCAATGCTGTCACAATATCATGAAACAAATTTAAATGATTATGAAATAAACTGGTCATATTTTTTTACGAACAAATATTTTTGTTTCGAAAGCATTATGCATATATACATACCTATGAAATCAATCATGAGCATGCCATTGGAACAACGTCCTGATGCATTCTGATAAAAATTAATTCCATAAGGAAGTTTTCCACATTTACTATGAGCTTTACAAAAACTCTCTCTCATGCAATTGCCGGTATCAGAAATTGAGTCACCAAACTGATATATGCTATCAAATTTGCAATTTCTCAATCTTGGTTTTTCAAGTTTTATTAATTCTTCTGCATCACTTTTCTGTTGAAAAATCAACAAACAAAGAAGTATGACATAAAATATTACTCTTATTGCCAACGCCATTCACCTTTTTTTACTAATTATGAAAAATGAAACACCCAAACTTCAGCTTTAATTTATAAGCCTTCAATCTGGATTATTATAATATTAGTATTTTTTAAAAACTATTCATTGTTATTCTCCTATTGATTTTGAGAATCATATTTTTTTTATGCATACTATTGTTCCTTCGCTACCAAACTCGCTAGCAATTTAAAAGTGTTGCACTATACACGATGAATACTGACTGTATTTTTAATAAGAAGTCAACATCTTGACTTCGTATTAATTCTTTCCTCTCTTTTTTTTTTCTTTTAAAATAATTTACACCCTCTATTAGACACAATTTTTTTAGTCTGTTTCTAAAAGATGAATATCACATTTGCATAGTAGGAAATAATTTAACTTTTAAAATTCTCTCTTCACTCTTAATGAAATAATTTATAACCATACAAATTTCAAAAGTCTTTTAAATCACAAATTTCAAAAGTCTTTTTATTTATTTATTTAATTTTGTATCAAATCAAACGGTGTCACAATAAATTTGGAAGAAGAGAGTATCAGATTTCCTAGCGTGACAATTTGTACGTTAAATTATTGAAAAATTATAATATCGACGGATGGGTTGCACGGCAATATTAATATATTGCTTCTCTCAATTCGAAAGGAAGGTACCCTTGTGAATGGATTGGCACGAACACCCTATTGAAATCGATAGTTAGGACTACTAAAATAGAGATAATGTATAACGATAATCCTATATTTAATGTCGATTTATCCACACTTCTACCCATTATAGAGGAAGGCTAACGATTTGCTGGCGAGTTTACTTGCTAAAATATATAGATCTAAATCAAGAATTAATCAACTTAATTAGTCATTTGGATGTAAATTAAGATCATTAATGAATATAAATAGTCATTTACCTAACCACAAAAATTAATTAAACATAAAGGTATATAATCAATGTATATTAATTAAGAAAAATATAAATGGCAAATCCAATCAACTATTTGCTTAATGATCCCGTTTGTATAATTTATTTACTTATAATTAGGGGTGTACATAGGTCGGTTTGGTTTGGTTTTTCATTAAAAAAAAATTAAATTAATTATGTTGGTTTATTAAATCTAAAAACCAAATCAAACCATTCAAAATTGGTTTTGGTTTTAGTCAGTTTTTTCGGTTTTTTACAACTATACGGTGTTTGAAAAAGAGATCAAATATATTTCCACTTACTTGTGTGATAAGCTAAACTTAAGAAATGTTAAATGAATAGAAATTTTCGTAAAGACGGTAAAATTCACATGAGTACAAATTATTATTTTTTTAAATATCAACGTTCATTATGTTAAATTAATAAGATTAAAGGATACAGTCAAACTAAATACAAAACAAAATATTTACAAAGTTAATTGTTAACTTCGAATTTGAAAAACTATAACAATATAATTGTAACTTCGGATCTTAATACAAAATAAAATATTTACAAATTTTACAAGCCCAAATTTGAAATAAAATATATAAACATTGAAAACTATAAACTAACTAAAAATATATTAACAAGTAGATTATAAATAATATTTTTTATCTATAAATAAAATAAAATTATATCTATAATATTTACAAAATTTTACAAGCCCAAATTTGAAATAAAATACATGAACATTGAAAACTATAAACTAACTAAAAATATATTAACAAAGTAGATTACAAATAATATTTCTTTATCTATAAATAAAATAAATTTATATATATATATATATATATATATATATATATATTATGTCGGTTTGGTTTGGGTTCGATTGACTTTTTTTCTTTTAATACCAAACCAAATCAAGAATGGTCGGTTTTTTTTTTCAATCGCCAAACCAACCAAACCAAACCACAAATCGATTTCTTTTTTTGATTTGATTTGATTCGTCGGTTCAGTTTGACTTTACAATTTGACTTGTATATCCCTACTTATAATCATATTTCTTTGGGCATGTGGGGTAATCATAGAATTAAGTCAGCGTTACATTACACGCCACCACGTCTTTTTTAAAGTTTTAAAACATTGTAATTAATTAATTTAAATCGTAATTGAATTCCCATGCGATCGAGTGACGAGAAAACAGAATATTGTAAGGGGATGGCTATTAATAGACTATAACAACTTCAGAAAATATATTTGACACGAATTGACATGATCTTATTTTTGGGGTATTTTCGTGACAAGAATATTGCGGTATATAAAAAAAAAAAATCATCTAAAATGTCGTTAAACCACCTAGAATTAATTTCTAAACCACTAATCTATCTTTCAAAATACTGCCAAAAAATTATAATCCAAAAAAATAACTCTACCCAAAAAATAACTTGTCAAATCCATACCGCTGCCCAAAAGTTATGTGAAAAATTACTTTTTTAATTGAATAATATGTGGATCCTACCTTTCTCAACTTCATTTCTCTTCTCCTTTTCTCCTCACCTTCTCTTTTTTCTTTTTTTTTTGTATTTCTTCCCTTTCACTTTTTATTAATTCTTCTTTTGACTAGTTTTTCAAATCAATTTTTTAGTTGGGAAATTTGTTTATCTAATTATTTATTTTGTATAATGTATTGATAATCATATTTATTTAAATATGTGGGGGGTAGGAGTGGCAATTTCAGCTCATATAAGTGAAATGAATCAATTTATCTCATATTAAATTAAATGGATCACTCATATTTTTTTAAATAGGTAAATATGGACTCCAACCTATTTAAGCTCATAAAAATATGGACAAAATGGATAAACATGAGAATCCATATATATACATATATCACTCACCTATAATAATAAAAATCCCTAATTGCAGTATTTGTTTTTGAAAATAAAAAATAAAAAATTGAGGGGTGGGGGTGGGGGTGTTGGAAGGATGGGTGGGGGAAATTTTTATTTTTTATTTTTGGAAATTTTTTGGGTGTGGGTAGTAGGTGTCCCGTGGGGGTGGGAGGAGGGTAGGGTTGACAATTTCTTTTCTTTTTTTTTTAAAAATGAAGTTTTTAATTTATTTTTTTTTTTGGGGGGGGGGGGGGGGGGAGGTTGTGGGAGGTGGGGGTGTGCCGGGGGTGGTGTTTTAAAAAAATGTTTTTTTTTAAAAAAAAAATAACTTACACAAATTTCATAGTATAAAGAGTAAATTACATCATATCCTTACTCTTTTTCCAATTACAATAATTCCTTAAAATTTGTACCTTTCGGATACATAAGTCACCATCCGTATACATTAATTCTAATACAAGAAGAATCTTTCTATTGCGCTAAAAAGGGAATAAAATCTGAAAATTAATTATATCCCATAAACTACGTTTACGTTTCTTCTTACTATCAATCATACAGAGACAAATCGTATCAGAATGAAGAAATTCAAAATTTCAAATTGTTCCCCCCATCAACGAAGAAACCTTTCAGATTTGATTAAAAAACTTTTGTCAAAATTTTGGGTAAGCGAGGTGAGTTATGAAGGATACAAAAGTGATGGAATTGTTGTTGGACAAACGATTTTCTTTTGAATCTTCAAGTTCATCGAAGATCCTTTCAATTTTGATTCAAGATTGTTAAAAAAATTGAGATTCAAGATTTTTTCTTCTCCAGTTCATCGAAGATCCTTTCAATTTTGATTCAAAATTGTTGAAAATTTTGAGATTCAAAATTTTTCTCCTAGTTTATTGAAGATCCTTTCAATTCAAAATTTTTGAGAAGATACATTACGAATATCTTTGCTACTTAGCATTTTACTATTTATGTATCTTGTTTAAATTGATAAATATTGTATTTATACTAGATACATTAAATAAATAATTGTTGCTCATAAGATGTTAGATTTGAGATCGATACATTACTGTGATAATTGCTATGCAATTGATACATTTAGTATAAATTCGAATTTACGTATCATATCTTAAAAATTAGTGCATGATACATTACTTTTTATACATCTCATTTAAATTGATAAGTATTGTATCTACACTAGATACTTTAAATAAGTAATTGTTGCCCATAAGATGTTAGATTTGAGATTGATACATTACTGTGTGGTAATTGCTATGTAATTAATACATTTAGTATAAATTCAAATTTACGTATCATATCTAAAATATTAGTGCATGATACATTACTATTTATGTATCTCGTTTAAATTGATAAGTATTGTATTGTTACGGAATACATTAAACATGTAATTGTTTCCCATAAGTTGTTTGGTTTGAGATCGATACATTTAGTATAAATTAGTATTTATGTATCATGCCCGTATAATTTGACGTAGCTATGCATCATATACAAAAAAAAAGTATGAATATGATAAACAATGATTTAGTTATAAAATAGTATTGCACATACATAACAAACATATGATACATACCCATATATATAAGTGACACTTTTTATGATTCGTTGTTGTCCTAATTTTCTCCATGTTTGTTTTGTCATGTCCATGTATGGGTGATTTATTGAGTTTACATTCTAACCATCTCTCTAACAGTAAAACGCTTGTCTTTGTGTATGAAAAATTACCCCAATATTCACATGATTTTCTTGTAAAAAAAAAAGAACTAGAAAGAAAAAAATAAATGAAAAACTAGCTCTTGATTAACTTTAAATCATTAACTGGAGAGAGGAAACATTTAAATTCAAAATAAAGGAGTGATTATAGGCATTGTTTTATTAGAAAAATATATTTTAGACTGATTTTAGAGTCGCCACTTAATTTTTAAGAAAAATCAAGAAAACTATTGTTTTCAAAAGACTAAAACAGAAATCTAATGAAAACTTAAAAGGGGCTCGGGGTTCTTATTAGCATTTCAGGAAGGGTTTGAAAGCATCTGAAATGCCTGCTAATACGCGGTTATCCAACAATTAATTATTTGGCTAAAATATTTTAAATTAACTTGAATTGAACAATTTTTATAGTTAGGACCATTTTAAGAGAAAAAAGAAAAAATATTAAAATATTATCCAAATGAAGTATATTGTAAACTTATTTATTTATTTAT